TGGTGGCACACAATCTTTAATCCCAGCACTTGGAAAGCAAAGGCAGGAGGACCTCTGAGTTCAAGGCCAGCCTGGTCTACAGAAAAATCCCTGTCTAGAAAAAAAAGAAAAGAAAAATGGGACTGGAGAGATGGCTCAGTGGTTAAGAGCACTGACTGCTCTTCCAGAGGTCCTCAGTCATATACATAAAGTAAATAAATAAAATTTAAAAGAAAAAAAGAAAAGAAAAAGTTGAAAGTTAGTACACAACAGAGTCTAAACTATCTTGAGATTTCCTTTGCCAATGGAATTAATCCAAAAGTCTTCACTTTAGACTCAGGAAAATCTCAGACAAGGACAAAAGCAGCTAAATTCCTTGCCAAAATATCACAAGAACTGTCTCTAGGCTACATACTAACGTTCTCTGAAACCTCTTGAGCCAGGCCTCAGCACACTGCCTTCCATGTTTTGGTATGATGGCCAGTTAAGCCCCTCTTAAAGAAGTCCATTGCTTTCCTAATGCAAAGTCCCAAAGTCTACATTCTTCCACACAAGAACATGGCCAGGCCTATCACAGCAATACCCAAGTTCCTGGTATCAACTTCTGCCTTAGAGTGTTATTGCTGTGAACAGACACCATGACGAAGGCAACTCATAAATGACAACATTTGAGGCTGCCTTACAGGTTCAGAAGTTTAGTCTTTTATCATCATGGCAGGAAGCATGGCAGCATGCAGGCAGACATGGTGCTGGAGGAACCAAAAGTTCTACATCTTGATCAGAAGGCAACAGGGAGGAGGCCAGACTTGAGCAAATATGAGACCGCAAAACCTACCTCAGTAACACAGTTCCTCCAACAAAGCCACACCTACTCCAATCAGGCCACACCTCCTAATAGTGCCATTCCATATGAGCCAAGCAAGCCAAATACGTTAGTGTATGGGGTTGTGCCTATTCAAACTACCCCAGAAGCTAAAGCATTCCCTTCTCTGGTGATTCTTGATTGTGTCAAGTTGACAAGACTAACCATCACACTGACCCTAAGAAGACAACAAAACAGATGGAAAGATTCCGCCGCTGCTTATAACCTGTATCACTGCCAGGCGTGGCAAGGGATTTCTTTGAGACCAGCCTGGTCTTTGTAGTTCTTGGACAGTGAGGACTATGTAGAGAGAATCTGTATCAAATAAGCAAATACGTAAATGTTGTTTACTGCTCTTGAAGAGGACCCATGTTGGTTCATGGAGCATGTCACAACTGCGTATGGGCATTTAGCATTTGCAATCTCCACAGATGCCTGCATTTATAGGTGCATACCCCTCCCCACATATACATAATAAAAATAATATAGTGTAATTAAAATAAATCTTTCTTTATAACTGTTGATATCTCCCCCAAATGTTATGCTACCTGAAAAAACCTTTCACTAAAGGTCATGACTGAGCTAGTACATGGTCCAATCATCCCAAGTAGGGATCCATGAACACTCAGTTTCAGAAGCTAGAAATTCAAGATGTTAAAGAATTGGTCCCTCCTGAGGTCATTTGTTTTGTTTTTTGAGACCGTCCTTTGTAGCCTAGGTTGGCCTTAATTCCTTATACCTGAAGATGATCTTGAGTTGATCGTCCAGGTGTACACCACACACTCAGATTTACATTGTCTTCCTGTGTCTAAGTCCTGATCTGTTACCCATAACAGGTGTTAAAGCCCACTCCAGCATTATGACGCTGTTTCCTCCATATTGAAATGTCCTCTAGTTGGGAATGGAGAGAGAGGCTCAGGACTAAGGAGGCCAAGGAAACTATAAGGTTATGTAACCTATGAGCAGGAGCTGGGAGGAAGGCGATTCGGTGGATCAGACTGTAAGCTGGGGAGGAGGCTCCAGGGATGCAGAAGTCCTCGTCTGCTGGGGTGAGCTTTCCAGTGAGAAAGCTGCGTTTGGGTCACCCTGCTCCTGTAGGTAACTGTAATAAAGTCTAGCTTAGTTCACTCAAGCTAGACAGGTGAAATCCCTTCTTTGGTCAGTTACTGGTGTCCCATGTAGGATTCCAGGATAATTGTTTAAGTCTCCCCAGAAAAACACAACAAATATCTCTTCTTGTGAGGACTGCTCAAGGACCTTAGAATAACCCAAGTTTCAACTCTAGATGTCCGTCCCATTGAATCATTGGTGGGGGAGGGATACCCTTCGGTGGGATTGTCTGCAAGCTGGGCAAGGAATCCAGTGATGAGGCTTCCGGGAGTCATCCCTATACCAAGTGTGTGTTACGATGGAACTGCCTAAATCACCCATGCTCCAGGGACTCTGGCTAACCAGGGTAAACTTGGGTGGGCACCAAAGAAATAATTCTAAGGGCTGGAGATGGATCAGCGGTTAAGAGTGCTGGCTGGGCCGGGCGGTGGTGGCGCACGCCTTTAATCCCAGCACTTGGGAGGCAGAGGCAGGCGGATTTCTAAGTTCGAGAGTTTGAGGCTAGCCTGGTCTACAGAGTGAGTTCCAGGACAGCCAGGGCTACACAGAGAAACCCTGTCTTGAAAAACCAAACCAAAAAAAAAGAGTGCTGGCTGGTCTTCCCCTGGACCCCAGTTCAATCCCTTATACCCACATGCAAGCTCACAACTGTCTGTAACTTCAGTTCCCTTCAGTTCCTGATGATCTAATGTCCTCTTCTGACCTCTATGGGCTCCTGTACACAGACACACACAGACACACACACACACAAACGTACAAACAAACCCAACTTTCTTATTTTTAAAAATTTTTTTAAAATTATTTAATGTATGAGTGCTCTGCTGCATATGCATCCACAGGCCAGAAGAGGGCATTAGATCCCCTTATAAATGGTTGTGAGCCACCATGTGGTTGCTGGGAATTGAACTCAGGACCTCTGGAAGAGCAACCACTGCTTTTAACCACTGAGCCATCTCACCAACTCCCCAATACACATGTTTTTGAGACAGGGTTTCACTTTGTAGCCTTAAATGACCTGGAACTTTCTGTGTAGACTAGACTAGCCTACTTGCTGTGTAGACCGGCCTGTCTAGTGCAGAAAGTGTATATACCACTACACTCAGCTAAATATACTTTTTAAAAAACAGGTCCACCAAAATCTACCTGGCATTTCCTCGGAAAAACTCACACAGCCCCTATTACCTACCTTATCTTGCCTTAATTAGCTCTTTTTTTTTTTTTTTTTTTTGGTTTTTCGAGACAGGGTTTCTCTGTGTAGCCCGGGCTGTCCTGGAACTCACTCTGTAGACCAGGCTGGCCTCAAACTCAGAAATCTGCCTGCCTCTGCCTCCCAAGTGCTGGGATTAAAGGCGTGCGCCACCACTGCCCGGCTAATTAGCTCTTTTAAAAAATGATTTTTTTCATTGCATGTGCATTGGTGTTTTGCCTGCATGTATGAAGGTGTCATAGCTCTTGAAGCTGGATTACAGCACACCTTAACTAGCTCTTTAAAGACTACTTCCATATACAGCTGAATTGTGAGGAAGAGGTCAGGTCAGGCCTTCCAGAGATGGATCTAGGGTGGGAGAGACACTCTAGCCATAATTAGTGAGGAATGACGGGAACTGCTTGTGAGTACACACTTCTGAAAATAGTGCAATCCAGGCTGCACCGTGACAGTATGCTGCAGTGTTTGGTATTAGAGTCCACTGTTAGAGATGCTGTCAAATCAGAGCTGGAATTGGAATTGGGGAATTTTTCTTATTTATTATGTGTGTGTGTGAGCACACACTCATGTGGGAGTCAGAGGACAACTTGTGGGAGTCTGTTCATCCTATCACGTCGTGGATCCCAGAGATGGAACTCTGGCAGCAAATGCTATTACACCATCTCACCAGCCCCTGGGACACCTTTTTTTCTTTTTTTTTTTTTTTTGGTTTTTTTGAGACAAAGCTTCTCTGTATAGCCCTGGCTGTCCTGGAATTCACTGTGTAGACCAGGCTGGCCTCGAACTCAGAAATCTGCCTGCCTCTGCCTCCCAAGTGCTGGGATTAAAGGTGTGCACCACCACCGCCCGGCTGGAATTGGGACACTTTTTGAACCTTCAAGGACCAAATTGTGGCCTCTGGTCGTCGTTTTGTCAAGGAGTAGTACCATCTCTTCTCACTGACACACTGTTTCCTTCAACACTAGACGCTGTTTTAAGTCCTTGTTAATCAGTAAGTCCTCTAATTCTGAGGCAGTCCTGTGAACTAGGTGCTGTTAATCTTTCTTCTTCAGGGCAGCAATGTGCCAAAATTCTCTGTGCCCACACAGCTAATACAGAAATACAGCAAGCAGAGCTGGGCTGGTACCCATTGTGCTGTGCTGTGCTGTGCTGTGCTGTGCCCGGCCGGGCTGGGCCAGGCTGGGCTCCTGCGCTGGGCTCCTGCGCTGGGCTGTGCTGGGCTGTGTGAGAGCCACCACAAAACTGTGAAAATTTAACTCTTCTTGCCTTGTAGAGGAGGAAGCAAGCTCAGATAGCTGCATGACTTGCTTAAGGGAGTTAGGAGGAAACCAGGCCTCCCACCAACTGGATAAGGTGAGGTGTTAGTAACAGTGTGGATGTGTGCCCAGGTAAGTGTCTGTGTGATGGGTAAATTGCAAATATAAAGTGGGGGAAGAGCTGGGAAGAAAAGAGGTGAATATGAGCAGTGGTGGCACACACCTTTAATCCCAGCACTCAGGAGGCTGAGACAGGTTCTCTGAGTTCCAGGCCATCCTGGAGTAGAGTGAGTTCCAGAACAGCCAGGGCTATACAGAGAAACCCTGTCTTGGGGGAGGGGTGGAATGTTCCATTAGCCAGGTATGGTAGCTCACTCTTTTGGACCCACCACTTGGGAGGCAGAGTCAGGCAGATAGCTGAGTTTGAGGCTGCCCTGGCCTACAAAACAAGTTCCAGACAGCCAGGGTACACAGAGAAATCATGTCTCAAAAAAAAAAAAAAAAAAAAAAAGAAGAGAAAAAAAAAGAGGGGGGAGAGAGAGGGGGGGAGGGAGGGAGGGAGGGAGGGAGAGAGGGAGGGAGGGAGGAAGGAAGGAAAAAGAAAGAAAGAAAATAGAAGAAGAAAAGAAAGAAGGAAAAGAAGCAAGGAGAATAAGCTGGCTAGGCATTCATCTCACCTTCCTGATGCCTGTATGCCCAGTGTTCTGCCTGCTGCTTTCCTGCTGTTAGAACCGCTGGCCTAAGGCTTGACCGCATCCTGGCAGACAGCCTTTGGCAAGGCATTCTGAGAGCTTAACCTGCTGGGGGCATCAAGGCCAGTGTCAGAAGTGTCAAGGGGGCACCAAATATGTTCTCAGGTGTCCCAATGCCTGTATCTCTGGGGCAGCCACCTTTCAGCTTTGAATGGGTGGAGCAGAAACCCTCGTGACCTTGCTGCTGACATTCCTCAGAAGCCACGTGGCCCCAACTGGCAGGGACAGCTGCAGACAGGGTCTGAACCAGCCTTGTTCCCAGGGTGGCGCCCGTTGTCCATCCAGGCCCTGCTTAGCTTTTGCCTGGTGTTACTTTCCCCTCCCAAGATCAGCCGGCACTGTAGGTCCAACACCATGAGGTTCTAAGGACACCTAGCCAACCACGGTCTTTCCGAGTGGCTAGGCTGAGAGAGGATGGGGCAGGACCAGACAAAGCAACAGATCGAAAAAGGACTGCAGCTGTACCAGTCCAACCAGACAGAGAAGGCACTGCAGGTGTGGATGAAGGTGCTGGAGAAGGGCTCTGACCTCGTGGGCCGCTTCCGGGTGCTGGGCTGCTTGGTAACAGCTCACTCAGAGATGGGCCGCTACAAAGAGATGCTGAAGGTACACATTACCCTTCCAGGGTGCTGTGGGAGGGCCCAGGTGCTGTGAGAGGGTTGGGAACAGGACTGGGTGGCTTCCAACTCCCAGGCGCCCTGGTATCTCCCTGAGAACCCTCTGTGTGTCTCATAGGCTAGTGTCCGGTCTGAAGTTTTGAATATGCATGGAAGATCCTGAGTCTTAGATGGCTGGGTATCTTCAGAGTCAGGCTTGTGGCCTTCAATTTCAGTGAAATTGAAGCTCAATTTCAAAGCCTCCGAGACTAAAGTTCACAGGCATCATGAGCCAGAGTCCAGGGATCTCAAACCCAGACCTCCAAGCCTAGGTTTTAGTCTACTGCTTGCTGCCTGGAGAAACAGGCTTTAAGTTTGAGGGTCAGGCTGGTCAGTGGTAGATTCCAGATCTGAGGATCTGAGGCTGGGGGTGACAGGGTAGTGTCTGCCCTGAGCTTTGGTTTAAAGCTCCTATGCTGTGACTGCAGCCTGGGAGGATGGATCTGAGGTAGTGGAAACTCTTGAGTCTGCGCTTTGGGGTCTGCCATTCTCTCACGCTGTGAAGTAGGGCTGGCTGTGTCAGCCAGGGGCTGCAGGTTAAGCCTTGGCTGAGTGTTGTCTTACCTGTTACCCTGGGATCAGTTTGCTGTGGTCCAAATTGACACCGCTCGGGAGCTGGAGGATGCTGACTTCCTGCTGGAAAGCTACCTGAACCTGGCACGAAGCAATGAGAAGCTCTGTGAGTTCCACAAAACCATCTCCTACTGCAAGACCTGCCTCGGCCTGCCTGGTACCAGGGCTGGTGCCCAGCTTGGGGGTCAGGTCAGCCTGAGCATGGGCAATGCTTTCCTGGGTCTCAGCCTCTTCCAGAAGGCCCTAGAGAGCTTTGAGAAGGCCCTGCGCTATGCCCACAACAATGATGACACCATGTTGGAGTGCCGTGTCTGCTGTAGCCTGGGTAGTTTCTACGCCCAGGTCAAGGTGGGCCTTGTCCCTTTGTGGAGGGTGGGGGGAGGAAAATGGGGGATTTGAGGCTCCCTGAGGGCCTGTTGTGTGTGTATATTGGGGGAGAGGGTTCATACTGTTTATTTATGATAAATATTCCCTGATTTTCTCTGGCCAAAAGTTCTTTTGAGACAATGCCATCTGCCTTAGCCAATTGGAGAATAGAATTATCTGACTCACTCATCCTGCAAATGGCCCCACAGGTGGCATGGGTTTTAAACTGGGCATTGAACCTGCCTCATTCATCTGGATGGCTGCATGGTTCTTGGCACAAGTGATAAGGCTGGTCATGGAGCATTTCTGCAGTAATCCAGGTCCACAAACTCTCTGGCATCCATGAAATCACTGCTGGAGTTTGTAGAGGCTGTACCTGCTTCCTCTAGGTCCAGCACAAGAAAGCCCCAGAGCCTCTTAGGACCCAACCACATACTTTGCTGGGCACTCCCCTCAGCTCTCCCTTTAGATAGCGGTTCAGTGAATGAGAAACTCTGGGGAAGGTAGAGCCACGAATCCCACCTCCATCTCTCAGATGACCTAGAAGATAGGGAAGCTCCTGTGTAAGAACAAGCTGTTTTTCTGTCTAGTCTTGGGCAAGTCACCTACTTCTCTGAACCTTAAGATATCTGTGTATAAATGAGGAAGTACAGGACTCACAGCAGGGATGTAAAGATTCATTAGTCTACTATTTATTGGCAGGGGTGGGGATTGGAGAGATGGGTCAGTTTTTTAAGAGTGTTTGCCTCTCTTGCAGAGGACCCATGTTTGATTCCCAGCACTGACATAGTGGCTCACAATTGCCTGTAACTACAGTTTCCAGGGATCCCATGCCTTGCCTGACTTCTGCAGGCTGCTGCAAGCACACAGTGCACATACATTCACCCAGGCCACACACCATACACTTAATATCAAATAACTACTTGAAAAAACATTTACTGAGCTGGGCGGCACTCAGAAAACAGAGGCAGGCAGATCTATGTAATCTGTGATCTGTGAGGCCAGCCTGGTCTACAGAGCGAGTTCCAGAATAGCCAGGGCTACACACACAAAGAAACTCTGTCTCAAAAAAAAACAAAAACAAAAAACAACCAAACAAAAAACAAACCAAAACAATAAAAGAAAAAATTTTTTTACTGAGGATCAACGACATCTCATGAACTGTTGTTGTTGGATGCTGTGTCTGTAACAACAGAGACAATGGCAGGGTCTCTTAAGAAGCTCCGTACTATCTGGATGAGAAGAACAGTTAACACAATCAGGAAGTTCATCCTGTGAAGAAAAGTGGGCAATACCAGGATGATGGGTAGGGGCACCGTTTTTTTTAAGAGAGTGGTCAGAAGGCCTCAGTGAGTGGTGGAGAAGGAGAGGGGTGAGCCAGGCAGAGATCCAAGGAATTAGCATCAGGCAAAGCTCTGCCAAGCCAGGGAGGCCACCAGGCTGACGGCGGTCTATGAGGAGGTGGGGAGGCACATGGAAGGGTGGGGTGTGAACTTACTGGTAGGGTCAGTGACCAAAAGCTTCCAATTACCAGGATTTTAGTGGGTCTCATGTAGCCTAGTGTAACATCCAGATGTGGGGGAAAAGTTTTTTAAAGACTTACTCATTTTTATGTGTATGGGTATTTTGCCTACATGTATGAGTACCACATGTGTGTGTTGCTTGTGGACACCAGAGGATGGCATTGGAAGTACAGATGGTTGTGAGCTGCCATTTGGATGCTGGAAGAGCAGCCAGTGCCTTTAACTGCAAAGCCATCATTTTTCTAGCCTCAAGCTTTGGGAGATATTTTTTTTTTAAAGATTTATTTATTTTATGTATATGAGTACACTGTAGCTGTCTTCAGATACACCAGAAGAGGGCATCAGATCCCATTACAGATGATTGTGAGTCACCATGTTGTTGATGGGAATTGAACTCAGGACCTCTGGAAGAGCAGTCAGTGCTCTTAACCGCTGAGCCATCTCTCCAGCCTTGGCTTTTGGAGATCATACTTACTGCTGGAAGCCAAAATGAAGGAATAGAATGACCATGACCACTGTGGTGCATATCTGTGACCTCAGTACTCAGGAGGCAAAGGCAGGACGACTACAAGTTTGCAGCTACTCTGAGCAACATAAGAAATACAAACAAAAACAAAACAAAAAAAAACTTATAACAAACAAACACTGGGGCTCCCTGGCTGTCACAGATCCCAGGCCTGGAGCCCTGGGTTTGGGTCAGTTCCTACCACTCAGTGTGTCTCCTTCCTGTTCTGTGCCCCCTGCAGGACTATGAGAAAGCCCTGTTCTTCCCCTGCAAGGCTGCAGAGCTTGTCAACGACTATGGCAAAGGCTGGAGCCTCAAATATCGGGCCATGAGCCAGTACCACATGGCTGTGGCCTACCGGCTGCTGGGCCACCTGGGCAGTGCCATGGAGTGTTGTGAGGTAGGACAGCAGGGAAGCATGCAGGTGGTGGGGGTGGGAGATGATCTCAGGCCCAGGTCACAGGGCCCCCTATTTCCTAAAACAGCCCATAGAATCCCCCAAAGGCCCATAAGCACCTGAAGAGTGTGTCATAAACACTGCGCCAGACCTCATCCCCTCCAGTCCATCCTCAGGGCAAGGAGCTTCCCTGTCCCCAGTAGCCTCTGTGGACCACTTTGAAAAGTAAAACATAAGGGCTGGGTAGGTAGCTCAGTTGATAGAGTGCTTGCCTAACGTGCACAAAGCCCTGGGTTCATCCCTTACCCCTACAGCACTTGGAAGGTGGAGACAGGATCAGATGTTCAAGGACATCTTCAGGTACATAGTTAGTTCAAAGCCTAGCTGAGCTATATGAGAGTGTCTTTAAAAAAAAAATGAACAAAAAAAAATAGTAAAACAGAGACATACTGTGTTACCTGTCTGTAACCCCAGCATTCAGGAGCCAAGCAGTATGATCACTTAGTTTGAGACTAGCATGGACTGCACTGGGAGCTCTTGGGCCAAAAAAAAAAAAAAAAGAAAAAGAAAAAAGAAAAGAAAAGGCTTGGGGGGGGCACTTTTGAGTCTCAGAGTTGTTCCAGTTCTCTAGTGCGTACCATTCTCAGGAGAGCCTTTCTCTTAATAAACTGTTCTGATTTCTGTCTCTCTCTCTCTCTCTGTTCTTCTCTGTCTCTCTCTCTCCTTCCCTCTCCCCTCCCTCTCTCTCTCTGTCTCTCTATCTCTCTGTCTCTGTCTTTGTCTCTGTCTCTCTCTGTCACACACACACACACACACACACACACACACACAGAGTCACATTGTTTCTTCCTCTGATCCTGATGAAGGTGCTTCTTTCTCTCTAAGCTTTGGTTTCCCTCCGTCAGACAGTACTGCGATCTTAGTGGTTCAGTGCAAGAGGCCTCAGCAACCACGAGAGGATGTGGTGATCCTAGCTGTCCCTTCTAAGGAACTGCTGGGTATAAGGCACCCCATAGTAGGGTCACGTGAGCTAGCCTGAGCAACCAGCCTCCCTTGCAGGAATCCATGAAGATTGCCCTGCAGCATGGTGACCGCCCGTTGCAAGCACTCTGTCTGCTTTGCTTTGCTGATATCCACCGGAGCCGTGGGGACCTGGAGGTGAGATCACCAGGATGAGGTGGGGGAGGGGGAACTTGGGCATGGAGCACCCCAAATCCAACCCTGCTTGGCTCTGCAGACAGCCTTCCCTAGGTACGATTCCGCTATGAGCATTATGACGGAGATCGGAAACCGCCTGGGGCAGGTGCATGTGCTACTGGGTGTGGCCAAGTGCTGGATGGCCAGGAAGGTGCTTGACAAGGTGAGACCAGGCCCTTTCCTGTGGCTAAAGCTCTCTCTGAGGCTCCCAATTTGGGGCTACTCAGCCAGCACTGGGGTACAGTGTTGGGCTTGTCCCCTTTATTTAACATCTGCCTCACCCTGTTGTCATGAGACCCAGACATTCCCAATTCTCCACACTAAAGAAGGTCCATGCCTCACCCAGAGACCCACAGCATATAAAAGGCCAGCACTAGCATTTGAACCATATATTCTTTTTTGTTTTGTTTTGTTTTGTTTTGTTTTTCGAGACAGGGTTTCTCTGTATAGCCCTGGCTGTCCTGGAACTCACTCTGTAGACCAGGCTGGCCTCGAACTCAGAAATCCGCCTGCCTCTGCCTCCCAAGTGCTGGGATTAAAAGCGTGCGCCACCACTGCCTGGCTGAACCATATATTCTTAAATTCCCTTTTACTGTCTCACGAGGCAGTCACATTCTGCCCATGTGTCAGCATAAACTAAGGCAGGATGTAACTTGCTTGATCTCTTCTGCTGCCTTCTCATAGGGCCATGGCCCCACCCCAGACCCCCAAACCCCCCACCCCAGGCCCACTTTTCTTTGTTTTTGCTATGAGCCAAGGCAAACAGATTGCCCACAACTCTGGCTTCTGCTCACCTTCCAGGCTTTGGATGCCATTGAGAAAGCCCAGGACCTGGCTGAAGAAGTTGGAAATAAGGTCAGACATGATTATGTCTCCTGGGTCTAGGGTCAAGAGCCAAAGGTCAAGAGCCTGGGTATGCTGGCACACACCTGTAATCCCACCACTTGGGTGGAGGAGACACGGGTGACCACATAGTGAGTTGGAATACATGAGCCCCTGCTCACGCTCTGAGCCCTTCTGACCCTCTGGAAGGCGCATGAAGCCACCCAACCTCCTGGATCTCCACCTTCCTCCCAGAGAATATTTCTAGGGCTGGGCAGGCATTTCACACCTTGGAGAGTCGCTGAGTTCCTAGCAGCCTCTCAGATCCATGGGGTAGATGTCTTCTTCATGAGTATTAGACATGTACACATTCATATATGCAAGCAAAAACACTTGTACACATTTTTTAATCTTAAAAACAAAACCAAAATAACAATCCTAACAATGTCCTCTATGCTTCAAGAGCTGCGTGTCCTCGAAAATACTGAATACAGCCTTCCCTGTGAGCATTCTCATGCTATAGATGAGGCCCAGTGTTGCTCAGCTACCAGCTATATAGCTATAGTATATGCAGCTTCTTCAGATGTCGCAGTTGTATCCAGACCTTAAAGTCTTGGAGAGAGCTTTGTGTCTCCCAAAGTCTTCTAGAAAATGTGCATCTCTCTAGGCTCTGGGGCACGCCCAACTAAGATGCTGACATCTATTTGCTTTGGGCTGGACCACAGCCACTCATGTTTATCCAGGTATCAGGCTGATCAGAAATGTATATTCAATAAAAATAGGAAAACACACTAGTTATTGTAGAGGCAACAGAGCAGCAGGTGTGGTCAACAAAGTCCTTCAGAAACATGGTGTGGTGGGGCACAGCTGTTTCAGCACTTGGGAGGTAGAAGCAGAAGGATCAGGAGTTCTAGGTCAGCCACGACTATAGAGTGAGTTTTAAGTCACTCTGGGCTATATATATGAGTAAAACAAAAACATAGGGTCCCATGTTTCTCATCTCTGGTCTTACCCACTCTGTTCAAAGGGAATCTAAGGCTGGGGTCGGCAGGATATTTCTCCCAGGTCCCACAGCAAGGCAAGGGTGTGGCAGGAACGGCACTTTCTTAGCCCTGCCCTTCGTCTAGTCCCTCATGGGATCTATCCCCACCGCCTTAGCTGAGCCAGCTCAAGCTGCATTGCCTGAGTGAGGGCATCTACCGCAGCAAAGGGCTGCAGCGCGAGCTGCGCGCGCACGTAGTGAGGTTCCACGAGTGCGTGGAGGAGACTGAGCTCTACTGCGGCCTCTGTGGTGAGTCCATTGGGGAGAAGAACAGCCGGCTGCAGGCCCTGCCCTGCTCTCACATCTTTCACCTCAGGTGAGTCCTTCGCTGGGCGGCAGGACCCCCCCAAATCACGCTAGCAATATTAAATGCAAAGTCCTGGTTCCTGGGTGTATTCTAACAATTTCCCACCTACTTACTCACGGACTCTCCCTCCAGGATCGGTGTGTGTGTGTGTGTGTGTGTGTGTGTGTGTGTGTGCGCGCGTGCATGTGTGTGTGTGTGTGTGTGTGTGTGTGGTGTGTGTCATTCTTACCATCATCCCAAGGGGAATTCAGAAGGACTCCTTCAAGTCAGCTCCCAGGACCAGGCTTGCCTTGGGTTGGCACCGGATGCCAACTTTGCTACAGCCTGGAAGCCTCTGGCGCAGGGCAGGCAGGAAGTGAACAGGAGCCCAGGAGAGCCTTCTCCTCCACTGGATAGTGACCTCCTGGCCTGGAAAGGAAGAAGACAAAAGCCAAGGCCTGAAGTAAGTCTGGCCTGGGTGAGTGAATGCAGCCCTCTGCCTCCACAGATGCCTGCAAAACAACGGCACTAGGAGTTGCCCCAACTGCCGCCGCTCTTCCATGAAGCCAGGCTTTGTGTGACTTCGGTGGCTATCTTGGGTTTCCACACAACCTCCCCCGGCCCCTTCTCCACCATCAAGCTGGAGGCCCTGGTTAAATCCTAGGGTAGCAGCCAGGGCCTCCATAGCAGAGGCCTGCCTGCTGTTCCTCTGGGCTTAGCTCCCCTCCCCTGCCTCTTTGTACTCTGATATTTATAGAAAAATAAAATGTTTGTACGTGGTGCCAGTGATTCTGACCCTTATTCCTCATGGAGGCTTCTCCAGACACAAGCCTCAGTCTATGTATGGTGTGAGACCCTCTGGCTACCCGCCTTAGCAATTAAGTTACCACAAGAACTGGAGACAAAATCCTGCTGCTGAGATCACTCACACACACACACACACAAATACACAGACACACACGCATGCTCCCGAATGCTCACGTGCATGCACGCACACACTCATACACACAGGCATGAGGAGTTGGAAGGGAACCACTACACAATAAGCAGAATGCACAGCAATGTGGAAAGTGGTAGAAACTTCTGTGGACTGCACTGTAAATTTCTGCCCCACCAATATTTTTAAGTACATCTATTTATTTTGTGTGCGTGCACATGTGTCAGAGCATGTGTGTCGGTGTGACTGTGTGGTCGGAGAACAGTTTGGGGGAGTCAGTTGTGTCCTTCCACCATGCAAGTCCCTCGGGATGGAACTCAGGCCCTCCAGCTTGGAGGGAAATGACTTTACATGCTGAGCCATCTGACTCTTCCCTGCCTCACCCATCTTTCAAGTGTTGTTGCTATTGAGATTTCCAGACAGGGTTTCTCTGTGTAGCCCTGGCTTTCTCTGTAGACCAGGCTGGCCTTGGACCTGTCTCTGCCTCCTGAGTGCTGAGATAAAAGGCCTGTGCCACCATGCCCAGCTGTCATCCTATAAATTTTATCTGTTAATGCCTTTGTCTGTTGGGCTGATATAACAAAATACCTTATATGCAACAGACATTTATTTCTGACAGTTCTGGAGGCCGGGAGCTCCGTGATGCAGTGTCTGCTGAGAGCCCATGTTCGGGTTCAGAGATGCATCTTACTATCTATGTCTTAATGTAGAGAAAGGAGCAAAGTGACTCTGTGGTCACTTTGTTTGTTTGTTTGTTTGTTTGAGACAGGCATTCTCACTGGGCGGTGGTGGCACACACCTTTAATACCAGCACTTGGGAGGCAGAGGCAGGCAGATTTCTGAGTTTGAGGTTAGCCTGGTCTACAGAGTGAGTTTCAGGACAGCCAGGGCTATACAGAGAAACCCTGTCTCGAAAAAACCAAATAAATAAATAAATAAATAAATAAAATAAAAATTTAAAAAAATCTGTTTTTCCTTCTGACCAGTTAGTTCCCAACAATAACGACTCTGAGACTAATTATTTATTATTAAATGCCTAGGCCATAAGTCTTGGCTCATTCCCTGACTGCCTCAACTTATTAAAGCCATTCAAACCATCCTGTCTTCTACATGGTTAGTTACCACTCCTTCAGCCCTAGCTTGCGCAGATGTACACACAAGCAAAAGAATCCCATTTATGGAAAAAATAAAATAATTTTAAGAGGAAAATTAGTGTTTGTATTTAGATCACCTAGTCTATGCCTTTTTTTACCCCCTTAAACCAGGCTGGCCTTAAACTCAGATCTACCTACCTCTGCTTTGACAGTTGAGATTAAAGGTATGTGAACCATGCCTGGTTCTGTGTTTTCAATAACATTTTTGTATTTTTTGAGAATTTTATTCATATAGAAAATAAAATATATTTTTATCATAGCTATCCCCCAGCTCTCCCTGGAACTCCTTGTAGACGGCCTCCAGCATGTCTGTCACCCTCCTCCTGAGTTCAGGACCTAGGCTTCTTTCCCTTTTGTTTTTCTTTTTGGTTTTTTGAAATAATGTCCCACTGGGTAGCCCAGGCTGGCCTGGAACTCACTTTTTACACCAGGCCGGCCTTGAATTCATAGAGATCTGCCTCTTGACTATTTTTTTCCTTTCTTTTTTTGTTTTTGTTTTTGTTTTTTTGTTTTTGTTTTTGTTTTGTTTTTCGAGACAGGGTTTCTCTGTGTAGCCCGGGCTGTCCTGGAACTCACTCCGTAGACCAGGCTGGCCTCGAACTCAGAAATCCGCCTGCCTCTGCCTCCCAAGTGCTGGGGTTAAAGGCGTGCGCCACCACCGCCTGGCCGACTATTCTTTTTTCATAGTCACTGAATCTAACTAGTGCTGCCCTTACGCACGTGTATACGGGGTCATCTACCAGCATTTAGGCCACCTACTGGTGGTCACACTCCTCCAAGGAAAACTAGCTACCCTTTCCTAGCAGCTGTCAATTACCAGCAGTTCCTCAGCGAGAGGTGGGTTCTCATGAGCCCTTCCTCCTGTGCCTATGCTGGAATTTTCCCTGGCTTGACAGTGTGCAGGTCTCATACAGAGAACCACGGCTGCTGTAGGTTTTGGAGTGAGTGACTCTCTCATGCTAGAATACAAGCATTTCTAGCTACCATAGGGGACAAAGTCTCTCACTGGGACCAGGGACTCACCAGATGAGCTAGGCAGGCTGCCTTCACTTGCAAGCTCCAGGGACTGGCCTGTCTCCACCTCCCCCATGTGAGGTTTATAAGTGCTTACACAGTCAGCTTTGTATGTAGAATGAACTCATGAGTCTTCATGCTTATGTTAGTAAAAAAATCATCCCCATGTTAATGTAAGGATCAGCAGTGGTGCCGCACGCCTTTAATCCCAGCACTCAGGAGGCAGAGGCAGGTGGGTTTCTGTGAGTTTGAGGCCAGCCTGGTCTACAGAGTGAGTTCCAGGACAGCCAGGGCAACAGAGAGAAACCCTGTCTCCAAAAACAAAAATAAGAGCAACAAAAAGGATTGAAAAAGTAGGTAATTATATTGAGGAAAATAATTAGAAATACAAAAAAGGAAAAAAATAGAAGAGGCTCAGTAGTATTGCATTAAATTGTATTTTGTACTCATCACTGTGTGCTCGTGGGTTGTAGGAAATGTGGCTGGAGATATGTGGCTCAGTAGTCAAGATCACATACTGCTATTGCAGAGGACCAGAATTTGGTTCTCAGTACCCACACTGGGCAACTCACAATCCCATGTAATTTTAGTTCCATGGGATGTAGAACCCCTTCTGGCTTCCATGTGCACTGACCCACATGTACACACACACACACACCTTAAAGAAACAATTATAGGACTATACATAGTTCTAAATAGGTATGTGTGTGTCCAGCAGCCTGGAGTACTGACACAGTAGTGGGCATACTTAGCACCCAGATCTTGACTTCAAATATGATGCACAAAAAACAAAAACAAAAATATCCCAAATTCCCAGCACTTGTGAGGCAGAGGCAGGCGTATTTCTGAGTTCGAGGCCAGCCTGGTCTACAGAGTGAGTTCCAGGACAGCCAGGGCTATACAGAGAAACCCTGACTCGAAAAACCAAAAAAACAAAAAACAAAAAACAAAAAACAAACAAAAACCCAAATCAAGATCAAAGCAAACAACAACAAAACTAGCCTCCTTGGGGGACAATCTGTTCTAGCCCTGCATCATGGAAAGTACAAGGTGAGGCTAGAATATCTTATTCCAGAAAACAAAAGGAACAGAAAGGGAGGTGAGCCAGCTTGGAAGGGCTCCCAAAGCCCTCTGGCGGTGACAAATCACAACTGCTTTATCAGCACAGGCTACCATCACAAAATACCAGGGAATGGTGTTTCAAACAACCACAACGTATTTCCTTACAGCTTTGGAGACTTTAGTGCCGCATCAACATGGCAGAAGATTCTATTGTGCCTTACCACTGTGTCCTTCTATAACCTTTTATCTGTGCTCCCAAAGGAAGAGAGGCATTCTTCCTTTCTCCTGTCTATAAAGGCGAGTGCCCCACCTCATCTGACTCCAGCTGCCTCCCAGAGCCCTCTCTCCAAATGCCATTATCCCAGGGGCTAGGACCTCAACATGACTATTTTGAGAGACACAAAGGTTCTGTACACAGTGACACAGTTTAATTCAACAAGTTAGGGACCATACTGATATTATTAAAATTTTAGTTAATGGGATGTTTACAGTTTGCAAGTTCTTCCTTATAAAATCTGTATTAATATGATTTTTAAAAAAGCATTTATTTAGTGTTTGCATGTACATATTCATACCACTATATATGTGACATGTTAGGCTGGCCCTAGTCCCTACTCAAGAGGGAACCAGCCCCTTTAAGGAGATAAAAAACTGCACTTTCTGCATGTCTCAGGAGTCCAATCCAAGACCACGGCATCCTGTTATCTTAATGCCCACTAGTCCCCACACAAAAAATCTCTGTTTGCAGCAGTTGCCTTCTCTTGATGCTCTCCTGCCGCTTCCCAGCCCGGCTTAAACCGGGCTTAAACCTATAAAACCCAACCTCCCTTTTGGCATGGCTGCTCTCCCTTGTCTCAGAGACAGACCTCAATAAAGCTTTGTTCTTCGGCTTTGGTGTGGCTCGGATGATCTTGTTCTCCTGTAAACCTTATCATATAGATGTAAGAGGACAACTTAAAGTGATTCAGTCCTCTGCTTCCGTCATGCGTGTCCTGGGCGTCAGACTCAGGTCATCAGGCTTGGGAACAAGTGCCTTTACCTGCTGAGCCATCTTTCCCCTTGGATATTCATTTTTTCTAAGGTAGGATCTCATTGTGTAGCTCTAGCAGACCTAGAACTCACTATGTAAACTCGAATAGCCTCAAATGCACTGAGTACTGGAATTAAAGATGCATGTGGTTATTCATTTTAAAGGGAAGGAAAAGCTGAATCTCAGTGGAAATGGTTGGCTGGCCCAGTTCATCATGTGAAAAGGGTTAACATCTCCATGACAAGATGAGAGAAGGCAGAACAGCTTTAGAAACTGTTTAGGAGGATACAGCTTTAGAAACATCCCACAGAGTAACTGTGATCTCTGAACATATCCAGAGCATCGAGTCAGCACTCTCCCACTGAGCTGCAGCCCCTAGCCCAGGAGGATATTCTTCACCTCAGCAAATGCTCTCCCAAGGATCCAGCTGATGTGGCATTTAGTCCTCACCTTACTTCCATTTGATTCATGAAAAGAAGTTACAAGGCTGGCCCTGGTGTGGCTCACACCCTTAGTCCAGTACTCAGGAGGCAGAGGCAGGTGGAGGCCAGCCTGGTCTATAGAGTGAGTTTCAGGACAGCCTGTGCTACAC